AGAGACACACACATACACACACACACACAGACACGACGCGCGCATAACAGTTAATAAAAAGTCCCCCAAAAAGTACAATAATAAACAAAAATCCTCTTAAAAAGCGTACAAATCCCCCAAAGAGGAAGTCATCATTCAGTATGCAAACTACTTATAAAACAATTAATAACCATTGCTAACTTTGAAGAATGTAGCTTCCCACTCCACCCCCTCCCCTCCCTTCCCCCCAGGTTCCCTCTTTCCAAAAAGCAGCAAACAAAACAGACGAAACAGAACAAAATAACATTTAAAAAGCAAATATTCACAGTGAAACCTCCAAAAGGATTCTATCATTTTTATGCAATTCACACTCGAAAGGAATAGTTATTCTTCATCTAAAGGTAAATTAACTATTCTTCGTCAAAAAATGATAATATGCTCTTTCGCGAAATTTCAGGTTTAAATTTACATGTACTATTCAAAGGACTCAAAACCCAACAGAAAGTAATGCCAAGTAAATTGTGAACTGGCCAGTGAGCAATGTACAAGCTAAAAGCTTTTTAAATTAATATTACAATACCCCCTCTCCCTCCTTCCTCTTCTATAATCCCATGCCTTGTTCGATTATTCTCCCTCACCTCTTTTCACACAAACACACATACACACTCATAGACACACACACACACACACACACACACACACACACACACACACACACACACACACACACACATACACACCGCGCGCGCGCGCGCGCTGACTCACACAATATCTCGTTGGCTGTTTACTGTTTAGAAAGCCAGCAGTCAGTTTGCTTTCGTCTTACCAGCTCAGCACGCAATGTGTCCATTAAGAGCCTTCAGGAGTGGGCAAAAACAATAATAAATTTATTTGAGAAAATGATAATGTAAGTTCTGAGATCCAAATAAATTAAATACACTTATTGTGATCCCCTCTGTACGTTTACTAGTGGTCCGGCGAACTGAAAGATTTAATGAAACATAATCCATGGGACAACCACAAGTGTGATTACGTAGATTAAGAAAGTAATGAAACGAATATAATAGAAAGGTAAAAAGTTTTTTTTAAACTGGTGCGCGAGAATTAAACAATTGCTTGGACAATAGGTGCCCTATTTTGGTTTACTTAAGTTAAAGTCTTCTGTACTTCTACGATTGATTAACAACAAGAAAACCTCCGCAGTATCTTGCATAATCTACTCTTTGTCAATATTTATAGGTAAAGATTCTTACACTGCTTAACCTGAAAGAGAAAGGAATTAGTGCGGAATATAAAAAAGCAAACAAACAAACAAAAAGTTAATAAATAAGAAGAATACATAAACATCATTAGCCTTCACCTTTAAAACTCATGAATTGGGAAATTCATTAGACCGAGCGTAAAAAGACAGTAAAAAGTGTCATCAAAATATTCAATCTAATCTTTTGTTAATTTGTCATGGTTATATCGTAAACACAGTTCATGCTACATACTTTCTTGCACAGACATACAAGAGTACTATCTTAAAAGAGAAGAGAATAGAAAGAAAAGAAAAAGAAAAAAAGGGGGGAAAAAGAGACCCAAAAAATGAATGCCAGTATTGCTGCCTAACACTACAAAGAATACGTTATTGAATCAAAACAGATTCCATCGTTTCTAAAAGAAACTCTAACTTCGGAATGTTAAATGATGCTATCTACAGACAAAACACTGATTGGTCGTATCTTAAAATGAAGGTTAAGAAATTTTAAAAAAAAACAACATTCTAAAAAACGTTTTTGTCGTTGTTAAACTCAGGACTACGTACAATAATATAAATGAAAGTGAGATACTTGGAAGGTATTCAGATTTAGAACAATAAAAACTATAATAAAAGCAGATCCTGACAGATCAGTCAAAACTACACATTTTAATATTAGATCACACGTAGAGTATGCTGTGTCCCTCCCCGTGGCTTCATCAAGGCCTGCGTCTCTCCTGGTCCGTCTTAACCCTTTCACTGTTTATCCCAGAACTATCTCGGGCCTTTACAGGATTTCTGAACGAGCCTGGGAGTGAAAGAGTTAAGCTAGATCTAGGTCAGCCTGGCAGGGTCATCATTGCGTTCGTCCTGCTCGCTGTATTCCTCTGCCTGCTTCAAAGGCGAGAACTCTTCAGGCGGCGATGGTCGGAACTGAGACAAGTAGGTAACAAGATGTAGTAATATAAGGAAAACTAATATTTTGTTCTTTTTTTTGGGGGGGGGGGTTCTGGGATTTTTTAATTGCTGTTTTAATGCTGTTGTTGTTGTTGTTGTTGTTGTTGTTGTTGTTGTTATTGTTGTTGTTGTTGTTGTTGTTGTTGTTGTTTTTAGGGAGGAGGTGGGTTGGGATTGTTTTTTAAAACAATGTTTTAATAAAGTTGTTTCAGATCGCTTTTCGCGGCTGCTGTTTTTACCTCTTGTTAGGTGCGAAAAAAAATTAATTTAATAATAATAATAATAATAAATGGCATTTATATGGCGCTCAACCCTGACTAAAGTACACATGCTCTGAGCGCTCTACAATACAATACGACAGTAATATAAAACGTTGTGTTCAGACAAAAAGAAAATATGTCTAAACTTTCATCTCAATGTTTTAACAACAGAAATGACAAGAGCTGACATTTGAATGAATCGAAGGATTTGATTTCTCTTGAAGTACTTGGCAAAGCGTTCCAGATTTTGGGGCATTGATATTCAAGTGCCATTTCACCCATTGCTTTAAGTTTCATAGAAGGTATAAGAAATTGCTTTTTGTTAGCTGATGACCTTAAACTGCGAGTTGGAATGTACAGTCTTAACAGATTTGATAAATATGTTGGTGCATTATCATTCAAACATTTGTGACATAGGGAGGCCAAATTGTACCCAATTCTTTTCTCAACAGGAAGCTAATTAAACGTCCGTGAAAGAGGTGTAGCAGAGTCTTGCTTTCTTTTCCGTAAATGAAACGTGCAGCATTGTTTTGGACAGTTTGAAGTCTTTTAACTTTCTCCAGTGATATTTCTGATAACAAGGAGTTACAAAAATCGAGTCTTGATAAAACTTTGCTAGTTACTAGTAAATCAGTATACTTAGTACTGATTAGAAGACGTGCTTTACTAAATTTTTCTTATTTTTAAATACACATGTAGCTGATCAGATGATTTACCTCAGCCGACATTGACAAACTGGAATCAAAATAGATGTCAAGATTTTTAACTTTTCTTGAAAATGCAATTTCCACATCATCAATTGTCATGTGATTATATTCAACCTCATAACAGACGTTGCACTGCCTGCCAGAATGACTTCTGTTTTATCATCATTTAACATCAATTTATTTTTGTTCATCCAGTTTTTCACGGAGGCAATACAATTTTCAACACGATGGACAACTTCCTCTAAGTTCGTGAACATTGTTGAACCATAAATGTGGGTATCATCAGCATAGAAATGATACTTAAAGTCCTACTTAACTATTTCCTTGACAAGTGGTTGAGTATAAATTATGGTTAACAAAATGGACCGATGACTGAGCATACAGAAGAGCATGATCTGATGACTTAAGCCGTTTAATAACAACAGGCTGATATCGATTAGACAGGTAAGAACAAAACCAGCTAAGGGCAGTCCCGAATATTCTAAAAGACGTTTCCCATCGCTTCAACAAAATATGATGGTCAATTGTATTAAAAGCTGCTGTGCTGATATATCTTAAAAGCTCAACTAAACAACTTTTCCGGAATCACAGTCTGTAAGCATAAACAGTAATATTACTCTTAGAAGTGCTGTTTTTGTGCTGTGGCTAGCTCGATAGACAGACTGGAATGGCTCTAACAGATTGTTCTCTTGTAAATTTTAAATGTTCTAAATCCCCATTAACATGAGGTAGATTTATCAAATGGGGGGAGCGGCGGGAAGGGGACACCTATTTTCATTTACATTTCGTACTCATACACCATAAAGAGGCCAGTGCATTGCTTTAATCAGTGTTTTCTTATCTCGTTTTAGTTTTGAGCTAAATCTGTCACGATTGTTCATATCAATTAAGAAAGTAAACTAAATAAATATATCAATTTTGAAAAAAGTGCAAAGAACTTTAAGGTCAAACAGGCCACAACAGTTATTGCAGAGAAGGACAGGTTGCTTTACAGTTGTTGTTTTTTATGTCATTGTCTCTTAAGCAAACGCATCTGAATTGATCGCCAGTTTGCAAAGTTGCTGTTGGCTACATGGGTGCTCTGGATTTATTTTTTTTTATTGTGGAAGTTTTTTTTTCTTCTAATATTTTTGATCATTCCAATCATATGTCAAACCGACAGAAAAGTGGAGATACTCGATAAAAACTAAAGTTACCCCCACTCGGGAATCGAACTCGGGTCTCTTACATGCTACAGCTAAGCGCCTAACTGCTGCTACTCCACAGGCGCTGGCTACTTCCATCTTAAAAGTCCATTGCGGTAGTAGAAAGTGTTAAAGACAACATGAAGAATAGGCCTGTTCAGGCCACTAACGTAGGTAAATTCTAATAAATCACTCTTAAAGAAAAACGTGATTGTGTGTGTGTGTGATTGTTCGGGGAGGGAGTAGAGGGATGGGGAGATGTTGTCGATATATATTTACCCCCC